TCCTTCCTTCCTTCCTTCCTTCCTTCCTTCCTTCCTTCCTTCCTTCCTTCCTTCCTTCCTTCCTTCCTTCCTCTCTCCCTCCCTCCCTCCCTCCCTCCCTTCTGGGTTTATTTTTCCCCCCATCCTGTTCTTCTCTCTGTTTTGCAGGGTTTTTTCCTATTATCCTTTATTTTTAAATGTTTTAACAATTGTAAATCACCTAGAACAGTGATAGCGAACCTATGCCACAGGTACCAGAGGCGGCACTCGGAGCCCTCTCTGTGGGCACACAGCCTTGCCTCCCCCTGCGACCCCCTCCTCTCCAGCAGCCCCCCTGAAGGAGAGTCGCCCCTGAGCATGGCCCACGCAGAGCAGTGCAGCCAAGGACATGGCAGCCAGGCAGAGTAGACAAGACTCTGCCTTCACGCCCCATCGCGCACAGTTGATGATGCAGGGCGCGCTGCTGGGCTGACTGGGCGATCTGCGGTGGGCCCTGGAGGTGGTGAGTGGCCCTGCGGGCAGGTGGGGTGGGGGATGGGGGCATAACGGGGGCGGGGCAGGGGGTGGAGTGGGGACGGGGCCAGTTTTTGGGTACTCTCTAAAAGGTTCGCCATCACTGATCTAGAATCACTGGGAGTCCGCCAGTATAGGTAGTGTAGGGCAGGGCTTTTCAACCTTTTCACCCATTGTACCACTTTTAGCATATGGCAACATCCGAGTACCACCAGTCGCCTAGCAAGGTTTCAAAAACTTGATGACCCCCCGAAAAAATGGGAAAAAGTGATGAAGTACAGGTAGTCCTCGACTTACAACAGTTCGCTTAGTGACTGTTCGAAGTTACAATGGCACTGAAAAAAGTGCCTCCCAAGCTACAACCGAGAAGACACCTGCCTGCCCACCCGGCGGCACTCTTCCTCCTGTCCGAGGTTTTCATTGTTGTGAGCATTTCTGCTGAGGATTGGCAGTGGGGGTGGGATGGGGGGGTGTTTGGTTTGCTGGGTGGTTGCAGCAGGTTTTGGTCACTTCACATGACCCTGGGACACTGTGACCGTCATAAATATGAATCAGTTGCCAAGCATCTGAATGTAAATCACAAGACCCTGGAGATGCTGCAACATTCCAGCTGATCGGTGCTTCTTCAGGGCTCAGCAGAAGCACCAGGATCAGCGCCGAGCTCCAGCTGGATCCTAGCGCTGATCCTGGCGCTTCCACTGAGTCCTGACAGCCCCGAAGAAGTGCTGATCCTGGCGCTTCCGCTGAGCCCTGACAGCCCTGCAGCTCCAGCCATCTCTTGCTCAGGCTTGTGCGGTACTGCCATCGGTACAGCTCATTCCCCTCCCCCGCTACCACTTTTCTAGGATGGTCACGTACCACCTGCCAGGTGCCAATGTACCACAGGTGGTACCCGTACCACTGGTTGAAAAGCCCTGGTGTAGGGGATGACCAGACTGAGCCTGAGGGAGGGGTCAAGTATATCATCAGTCTCAATTCTCTTCACGCCCACAGGAGATCTCGGTCTGTGAATTCCTCATCTACCACCAATTTGCTTTGATTGTTTGTAGTTCAGATTCTTGTAGAGAGCTTAAGCTGGCAATAAACCTATATATTCATTTGAACTGCCTGAATCGCCTGATTTCTGGTTCTTGACAGGTAATCCTCAACTTACGACTACAATTGGAACCGGAATTTCCATCATAAGCCAGTGCAGTTTTAAAGCAAAACATCCTAGGGTCAGGCCTGATTTTGTGACCACTTTAACTGCGCCATTAAGTGAGCGGTTGTTAACTAAATGTAGCTTCCCCAATTGACTTTGCTTGTCGAAAGCTGGCTGGGAAGGCCGCAAATTCTGATCACGTGACTACAAGACGCTGCTACTGTCATAAATGTAAGTGGTTGCCAAGTGCCAAATTGCGGTGGTGTAATGGCTGCAAGTCACTTTTTCCGAGGCTGTTGTAACTTCGAAATGAAGTTAAATCAGGTTGTAAGTCAAGGCCTACCTGTATATAAATTGAATATGTATTATTATTATTCAAGTAGGCCTACTTGATGAAATTTGTTTCTGTTACCCAGTTGCTGCTAAAATGAGTTTGAAGGTGACACCGATGAAGCAGCCCCAACTATGCGGATTCCTGGGGACACAAATGATGGTCACACGCATCGTGAGTTCCAGGAACCTAACAAAATGATGGTTTCCCGGTGCCACTGTTGAATGAAGGCCTCAGCAGGGGTCGCCAAACTTGGCGTCTTTAAGACATGTGGACTTCAACTCCCAGAATTCCCCTATTTTGGTTTTAAGGAAACTTTAAGACAGAGGCCCTCAAACCTGGCCACTTTAAGACTTGTGGACTTCAACTCCCAGAATTCCCCAGCCAGCCTGGGAGTTGAAATCCACAAGTCTTAAAGAGGCCAAGTTTGAGGACCCTGCTTTAAGAGGGAGGGAGGAAGGAAGGAAGGAAGGAAGGTAGGACAGGGCTGCCTGCCTGAGGAATTCTGGGAGTTGAAGTCCATAAGTCTTAAAGTGGCCAAGTTTGAGGACCCTGCTTTAAGAGGGAGGGAAGGAGGGAGGAAGGAAGGAAGGAAGGACAGGGCTGCCTGCCTGAGGAATTCTGGGAGTTGAAGTCCACAAGTCTTAAAGTGGCCAAGTTTGAGGACCCCTGCTTTAAGAGGGAGGGAAGGAGGGAGGAAGGGAGGAAGGAAGGAAGGAAGGAAGATTAGGGCTGCCTGCCTGAGGAATTCTGGGAGTTGAAGTCTACATGTTTTAGAGTGGCTGTGGGGAAGGAAAGGGGGCCACATGGAGGGGCGGTCTGCTGAGATTGCAAAGATTGCTTGTGGCATTTCCTAACTGGAGGCTCCCCAAGGGAATAGGAAAGCTCCTGGCTTTGTTGCTTTCTGAATGCGGTTGCCAGGTGTGCAACAGGTCTTGACAGCTGAAATCCTTCAGATGAACATGGCTTAATTTGGTTCTCATCTAAATTTGGCTTTAGCCTTTTATTTCTTATTAGATTTACTTCTCTGAGCATGTTTTTGTAAATGTCAGCCTGACTTGTAAAGCTCCTGGGAAGCCAGAGTGGGTGAAAGCAGCAGAAAAATGAATTAAATCGCAATACTCAAATCAGTTGGAATTTCCTTCCTTCCCTCCCTCCCTTCTTTTCTTCCTTCCATCTTTCCTTCCTTCCTTCCTTCTTCCCTCCCTCCGTCCTTCTTTCCTTCCTTCTCCCCTCCCTCCCCATCTTTCCTTCCTTCGTCCCCCTCCTTCCCTTTCCTTCCTCCCACTCTTCTTTCCTTCCATCTTTCCTTTCTTCTTTTCCTCCTTCCATCCTTTCCTCCTTTCCTTCCATTCCCCCTCCCTCCCCATCTTTATTTTCCTTCCTTCCTTCCTTCCTTCCTTCCTTCCTTCCTTCCTTCCTTCCTTCCTTCCTTCCTTCCTTCCTTCCTTCCTTCCCTTCTTCTCCCCCTGCCTCCCTCCTTTCTTTCCTTCATTCCCTGCTTCCATCCATCCATCCATCCATCCATCCATCCATCTTTCCTTTTTTCTTCCCACCCGCCCTCCCTCCCTCCCTCATAATGTTCCCTCGAAACCAAAATAGCATTTTCCCCTCCCCTTGCCTGCACCTACCCCCCCCTCCACACTATCGCTGGAAGGAGATGGGCAGCCACCCACCCAGGCCGAGAGAAGAAAAAGCATCTAGAGAGCGTTAATTCCTCCAAGTGTGCAGCAGTTGGTCAAGCGGACGGGGGGGGGGGGAGAGAAACCACAGTGCCATTACATCATAGTGTGAACTGATCTTCCCAAGGGGATGGGGGTGGGTGGGGGAGGCTGTTTCTAAGCTTGGGAGAGAGGGGGGGTGGCTGATGTGTGCTGTGGCAGGGATGATAGGCGAGCCGGGCAGAGGAGTGTAGGCTCGTGAGATTTTGGACTTAGCCAGACCGTCCACAGCAGACAGAATCCAAGTATGATCCTTTTCGGAAGGACCGGCTGACGCCCTCCGAGAAGGCAGCCATGAGCGGCAAGGTCACCGCAGCCACCCCTCTCCCTTCCCCAGCCCCCCTGAACCCCCCTGGCCCTTCTCCCCTGGGGGAGGAACAGGAGGTGGTGACCACTTTTTGCACCCTCCTCCCAAAGATGCCCCAATGGAAATTCTCCGGCCCGTCCGGTTTTCTCAGCCGCAGCCCCTCCAGTGCCAGCAAAGACCTCTCGGCATCGGTCAAAAGCGGTGGCCTGGCCGAGGCCGGGGCTGTCACGGTGGCCTCCTCGGCCTCGGGGTCAGGCCTGGCCGCTGTCCTCAGTGCCTGCGAGCCGGTCTGCGCCACACCCTGCAGCAGGCTGAGAGGAGGGACGGGCGGGGGCAGGAAGACGCCTCGGGCCCCGGGGCCCCGAGCCTCTGGAGAGGAGTGGAGCCGGAAAGGGAGTTTCATCAGCAAACCGGTCCAAGGTTGGCTGCATCCAGATGAGAGAGTCTTAGGGCCCGGCGTCTCCTACATCGTCCGGGTGAGTAGCCTTTTGTCTTTCCCGTTACTAAACGAAGCAGCTGAGCTACCTTGGTTTGGTGGGGGACACTGTTCTGGGGTCCATTCAATGTTTGTTTGGGGTTTTGCCGATTTTGGGGGGGTTTGGCTTGCCACATTTAGCCTGTGGATCTGCCGAGTAGATTGCCCCCAGCTTAGCCCTGCTCATCAATTCCAAAAGACGAAGCATTGGGGCTTGGGTTAGCGCAATTATTTTATTGTTTTTCTCCACTTCTTCACCGTTCGGGTGGGCTTTGGTGATTCAATTCCCTCCCCATCTCTGTAAGATCTTTGGAAACTGTGCTTTGTAGAGGCTCAGAGGCAACGTGTGATGTAGTTTCTCCTCCTAATAGATTATAGGCAGGAGGTGGTAGAATGAATATTCTGAGCGTATTTAAACTCCCGTCCTTATTGTTATGAGCTGATCCCGTTGCCCCATCGTTGTTTTAATGGGTGTTTTGGCCTGGAATGATATTAGAAGCAGAATATAAAACTCCTTGCAATCATCTTGAGCAAATTGCTCAAGTCAGAGGCCGTTTCTAAGATTCTGATAGTGCTGAATGCAGCTTAGGAAGCCTATCTCATTTTATCTCTTGCATCATGGATTCCAAGATCGTTTGTTTGCACCTTCGAAGGTTATTCCCAAAACTGGAGGATTGGAGAGACCAACTGGGTGATAATGGAGTTGGCTAAACTTGGAGGAGAAAGGATCATTTATAGACCACCCTGTAAACGGTAGATAACAATCACCAGACTAGTAAAGGGAAGATCAGAAAGCAGGGCTAAAAATCTGAATAACAGAGAATCGTGTCTTTGAATAACACAGTCTCCTCATGCCTCGTTTGGAAAGTGCATCTTTAAATCAATTTAGCAGATGGAATTGCACAACTAACCCCTTGTTCTTAATTAATTTAAGGGTAATTTATGTTGACAGCTAAATTGGGCTAGTAAACCTTTGGAGTTCTCTTCACTTCCACATATGGCCTAGCTCAGGGAAGAGATTATCAATCACTCCTTGTTCAATAAGATTTCAAGAAATAAAGCACCAAACTATCGCTGGATCCTTCACAAGCTGGACAACGGAGTCCTCCACACACAGCATACGGTGACATCACAATAACAAAACAAAACAATTTGTGGTCAGAGTTGGTCATTGGCTAGCGTGGGATCTAAGGGGTTGTGTTCTAGCAGTTGAATACGTCACCCTGTCTAGTAGATTCTAAGTGTTCACTAATAATAATAATAATAATAATAATAATAATAATAATAATAATAATAATAATAATAATAATAATAATAAAGTTGGAAGGTCATCTAGTACAACCCCCTGCACAGGCAGGAAACCCTATACCATTTCAGACAAATGGCTGTCCAATCTCTTCTTAAAAACTTCCAGTGTTGGAGTATTCACCACTTCTGGAGGCAGGTTGTTCCACTGGTTAATTGTTCTAACTGTCAGGAAATTTCTCCTTAGTTTTAGGTTGCTTCTTTCCTTGGTTAGTTTCCCTCCGTTGCTTCTTGTGCTGCCTTCAGGCATTTTCTCTTTTTATTTTCATGCGTTGAATCCCAACAAAGTAAATATGTAAGTTCAATTTAGTGTAAAATTATTATTCTCCAGCCTTTTCCCATAAAACAATATGAAGAGAGTTCCTTGGTTCTGCACTGACTTGGTTGTGAACTACAATCCAGCACTGATAAACAATTTGGCTGCAAAAATATATATATTTCAACCAAACTGATTTGCTTCAATCATTTATAAACAATAACATAGTGGAGACTTTGGCATGATGCTCAGGAATTTATACTTCTTTTTTTAATAACACCAGAACATCTTAAAATACTTTGCTTGGTATCTTTTATTAATGTTATATTGCGTAGTAATTGTACAACCACAATAATTATTGGCTCATTTGGGGACAATCTCTTGTTTTTTGAAAACACCCTTTTGTTTTAAATAACATAAAATATCTGTGAGGGAGATAGGCGATTCAAAAATGTGATCAATAAAAACGAACCCGTACAAGCTGTTAATGTGCCGTTTAAAAGAGAGAAATAAATCTCTGTATCTTTATGGGCTGTATTGTTGTTAAAAACAGCAAGGGACTGCTCCTTTGGGGGAGGCTAATGGGACAGAGAAGATTCTCACCTCCAGGTTGCCCATCATCTTTTTAATTTTAATTTTTAATTTTAGTTTTTAATTTTAATTTTTAACTTTTTATTCTGTTTTGATTGTTGTTTGTACTTTTTAACTTTTATTATATTGTCAGCTGCCCAGAATTTCTGTACAGGAAGTCCTTGACATATGACCACAATTGACTCCAACATTTCTGTTGCTAAGCGAGACAGTCGTTAAGTGGGTTTTGCCCCACTTTACGACCTTTCATGCCAGAATTGTTCAGTGAATCATTGCAGCTGTTAAGTTAGTAACACGGTTGTGAAGTGAATGTGGCTTCCGCATTGACTTTGCTGGTCAGAAGGATGCAAAAGGGGATCAACCTGACCCCCGGGACAGTACAACCGTCGCAAGCATCTGAATTTTGATCACGTGACCGTGGGGGGATGCTGCAATGCTCTCAAGTATGAAAAATGGTCATAAGTCACTTTTTTCAGCGCCATTGTAAATTCAAACGGTCACTAGAAAAAGCGCAGAGAAGCGCAACAAAAATAATTGGAACTGGAGGCTAAAACATATAAGGAACGGTTGCTGGAATTGGTTATGTGTAGTTCAGGGGTAGGCAACCTTGGCTCTTTTATGACTCGTGGACTTCAACTACCAGCAGCTGGCTCAGGAATTCTGGGAGTTGAAGTCCACGAGTCATAAAAGAGCCAAGGTTGCCTACCCCTGGTCTAGTTTAATGAAGAGAAGGACGAGGGGGGACATGATAGCAGTGTTCCAATATCTCAGGGGCTACTCCAAAGAAGAGGGAGTCAAGCTATTCTCCAAAGCACCTGAAGGCAGGACAAGAAGCAACAGATGGAAACTAACCAAGGAGAGAAGCAACCTAGAACTAAGGAGAAACTTCCTGACAGTTATAACAATTAATCAGTGGAACAACCTGCCTCCAGAAGTTGTGGGTGCTCCAACAGTGGAAGTTTTTAAGAAGAGATTGGACAGCTATTTGTCTGAAATGGTATAGGGTTTCCTGCCTGAGCAGGGGGTTGGACTAGATCAGACATGTCAAAGTCGCGACGTCACGTGACGTCGCGCAACGTATCAGGACAGTTTTGCCATTGCCGGCAATGGGGTGGGCGCGGCTTCCTCGTGATGCATCCGGCCCGTGGGGCCGGCAGTTTGACACCCCTAGATGATCTCCAAGGTCCCTTCCAACTTTATTATTATTATTATTATTATTATTATTATTATTATTATTATTATTATTATTATTATTATTATTATTATTATTATTATTATTATATGAACTGTTGTAAGTTGAGGACTTCATTGTATTAGTGAGATAGGTGGCATAGAAATTCAGTAAATAAATAAATAAGGTTTTAACTTAAAGCAGCGGCCCCCAACGTTTTGGCCACCAGGGACCAGTCCCATGGAGAGAAGTTTTCCCTTGGACAAGAGGGGGCGTGGTTTCGTGTGTTGCTTACATCCCGCGGATGGGGCTTTGCTTGTTTGTGTGGACCGGTTGCTGGCATGCTGCGGACCGGTGCTGGTCCACAGACCGGGGGTTGGGGAATCCCTGACTTAAAGAAATCCAAAATTGCAGGTCTTGTAGTAGTATCTGTTGCAGGGGGTCTCCCAAAAAACTCGGTGACTTTAACACTTGTGGACTTCAACTCCCAGAATTCCCCAGCCAGCACTGCTGGCTGAGGAATTCTGGGAGTTGAAGTCCACAAGTCTTAAGCTCGCCGAGTTTGGAGACCCCTGGTCTGTAGTACAGAGAATAAAAACTTAAAGCGTGAAACATTACTTCTTTTCTTATGAACAGTGGCAAGATAAGATGACTTAAAAATAAAAAGGCATGAAAGGGATTTCGTTGCAGTTCTAGTTGAACAGAGTTGGGACTTTGCTTTTGTATAAAAATGATTTGCAAATTACTGCAAAGCCATTAGAAGCAAAACAATGGAGGGTATTGAATGCAGATTGGCAGGGCTTCAGTTCCTTCTTGAAGAGTTCAAACATAAGGCCCCTGGCACTGAAATCATTTCAAAAACTCCGGGGGAAAATTAAATTCTATTGAAAGTAATGTGCATGCTTTCTGAAGCTATTGTATGGGGGAAATGTCAGTATTTGTGCATATATGTGTTAAGAGGGTTGGGAGAACCTTTACATATTTGGGGATTGGCAAGATTTCATTTATTGAGAAATAGTTTGGTCTAGGTCCAGGGGTAGGCAACCTTGGCTCTTTTATGACTCGTGGACTTCAACTCCCAGAATTCCTCAGCCAGCCATGCTGAGGGGAAAAGGAGAGGTTTCCAAGCTGAGCCATTCTGGCTCAGGAATTCTGGGAGTTGAAGTCCACGAGTCATAAAAGAGCCAAGGCTGCCTACCCCTGGCCTAGTCTAATGGTCAAAGCACCAGACTAGAACCCAGGAGATGGTGAATTCTAGCACCACCTTAGGCGTGAAAGGTGGCTGGGTGACCTTGGGCCAGTCACCAGGAGACTGTGAGTTCTAGTCCCACTGTAGGCATGGAGACATAAAAACCGTGACACAAATGTGGACGCATGTTTGAAACTTCAAAACTGGGGTCCCAAAGATGCTTTTTCAAGAGGCAACTGGAGTTTCTTTGCTTTTCCTTAAAGGTAATAATAATAATAATAATAATAATAATAATAATAATAATAATAATAATAATAATAATAATAATAATAATAATAATAATAATAATAATAATGATGTTGATGATGATGATGATGATGATGATGATGATGATGATGATGATAAAGTTGGAAGGGATCTTGGAGGTCATCTAGTCCAACCCCCTGCTCAGGCAAGAAACCCTACCATTTCAGACAAATGGCTGTCCAATCTCTTCTTAAAGATGTTTCACTTCTTGTCCAAGAAGATAAGAAGAACTCATCAGTCAGAACTGAAGAAGCTTCTTGGAGGAGAGGCGAAATATCTTCAAGGAAAAACAAAGAAAGTCCAGTTGCCTCTTGAAAAAGCACCTTTGGGACAACCGTGACTTGAATGACCGAGAATCTCCATAGACATTTGAAACTGGAATATAACTATCTTTTTGGGAGGTCCTCCATAGTTTTGAACAATTGCTCAACGACGGTCGTAAGTGGAGAACTATCTGCAAATGGCAGGTCTTCCATAAAATATTCAGATTGGGAGCTGTAATCATCCTGTTGGAAGGAAAAGTCTTCTTCATGGTTCAGTCCAAGCCGGGGATAAACAACATGGAGACTGCTTTAAAAAGAAGGTTGCAGTTTATTGAAGAGGAGAGCCAGACAGAAAGTTGGCTCTGGCAGAAAAAAGAGGAAAAAGGGACTGAGCTCATGTAGGGAGTGGGTTTTTGTACCCTCTGGAGCCTTTTGTTTTGAGTTGTTTCCTGTTCCTGTGGCATGAACTTTGACCTGAGTCTGAGTGTGCTTTTCTGGTATTCTGATGGTGATGGGTTAATCCTATTATGTCCCAAAGGTCATATCCTGCTTCCCTGGTGCTGGGGCTAATGACTCCTAGAGTTTGGGTGAGGTATGCAGATTTTAGGTGTCTTTGTCTTCTTAATCTCCTAGCTTCAACCTTCCTGAATGGATTATTTACATCTGCATTTCTATAGAGCTGGTTTTTGGTTGGGGGAGGGAGACTTGGGGCTATTAAGAAAAACTGGGCCTGCTTTTCTGCCTCTTTAAGATCCTTTGAGGAAATATATTTTCCCGCCCTTTTAATATTTCCTTCTCTGGGGGAGCTGACTTCCCACAATCCCCTCAAATGTTTTGAGGGGTTTTCAGGCCTGGTTTCGTCTGCTTTGGGGAAGGGCCTTCTCAACCAACAGGAGCAGTTTTACGGAGTTTTCTCTTTTTGCTCCTTCTTTGTGTCTTTCAAGAAAATGCTAAATCTTTCGAGCTATTCCCTGGTTTCCCTAGATATTTTACAAGGGTGGTTCTAGATTTCAAAGCCCTCTGTTGCGGTTGTTTATCATTTGTTGTTTTCCTGCTTTTCAAGGAAATCTTAATGTTTCGCTGCCGATGTTTTCCCTGATTTACATTGCTCATATGGCTGGGATCAAGCAGAAGAGATAAATAAATACTGTAAAAAAAAATGGAATACAAAATAAAGCAAATCACAGCACTGGGAAAACAAAAGCTGCTGATTTGTGAGGCTTTGTTTTGTTTGCCATGAATTGCAAAACAGTTTTAAGGATTTCGCGTGACAGCTGCTGAACTGTGAAAGGGAGGACACAACCTCCCTGGCTAATTCCCAGTAATCACACTGGGGTGTTGTGTAGCTCTGAAATTCGGTTGAGGAAGTCGGGGATTAAGCCTTAATGCAAAAATGTTGGACAAGCTTGAAGCTCAAGCCGTATTTACTCATTATGACAAACTGTGCAGACCGACAATTGAAAAGAAAGAATTTTTATTTTTATCCTCATTGGTTGGCCAGATCAGCTGAACGCATTTAAACTAGGATTTCATCCTAGGGAGCACGAATGAGTTATGCAACAGAACTGAGCTAGGTTAGTGTTTCTCAACCTTGGCCATCGTTAAGATTGGTGGACTTCAACTCCCAGAATTCCCTAGCCACTATGCTGGAAGTTGAAATCTACGCATCCTGACTGGTGAATTCTGGGAGTTGAAGTCCACCTGTCTTAAAAGTGGCCAAGGTTGAGAAACACTGAACTAGATGCTTGAAGGTTAAAGCTATTTTTCCCAATCTTGTACACGTCAGCTGTATTGAACTACAATTCCCAGAATTCCACCCTAGCAAAAATAATTACGCTGGGAATTTTATATCTAGAGCTATCATTTTGGAAAAGCTGTTTTAGATGCCGAGGCTGTAGAAACTACTGTACTAAAGGACAGAGAGCCAGTTTGGTCTAGTGCAGGGGTAGGAAACCTTGGCTCTTTTATGACTCGTGGACTTCAACTCCCAGAATTCCTGAGCCAGCCATGCTGAGGGGAAAGGGAGAGGTTTCCAAGCTGAGCCATGCTGGCTCAGGAATTCTGGGAGTTGAAGTCCACGAGTCATAAAAGAGCCAAGGTTGTCTACTCCTGGTCTAGTGGTTAAAGCATCAGGCTAGAAACTGGGAGACTGTGAATTCTAGTCCCGCCTTGGGCATGAAAGCTGGCTGGGTGACTTTTGGCTAATCACCAGGAGACGGTGAGTTCTACTCCCGCCTTGGCCATGAAAGCTGGCTGCGTAACTGGGCCAGTCCCTCTCTCTCAGCTCAATTCACTTCACAGGGTTGTTGTTGTTGTGGGGAAAATAGGAGGAGGAAGGAATATTGTGTGTGTTTGCCGCCTTGAGTTGTTTATAAAAATAATAAAGCCAGAATATAAAATAAAATAAATAATAAATCCAATTTGAGACCACTCCCTAAAACGGATCTCTACAACTCAAAATGAATTATAAACTGCCCACAGTCATTGATTATTATTATTATTATTATTATTTTAATTTGTATACCGCCCTTCTCCCATAGGACTCAGGGCGGTTCACAGCATATTAAAAACAAATAATATACACAAAATACAAAAAATACAAAATACAAAAATACAAAAATACAAAAAAATAAACCCCGATAAAAGCCGAATTAAATGGTTTATAATGGTCGACACAAAGGCTAATAAATACTTTTAAAATTATCCCTACCTAAAATCCTCCCTAGGTCAGGCCCGCTTGCTGAAAAAGCCATGTCTTGAGGGCGCGGCGGAAGGTAAGGAGATCCGGAATCATCCGGATCTCGGGGGGTAGTTCATTCCAGAGGGTGGGGGCACCCACAGAGAAGGCCCTCCCCGTGGGGGTCGCCAGCCTACATTGCTTGGCCGACGGCACCCTGAGGAGGCCCGCTCTGTGGGAGCGTACCGGTCTATGGGAGGGAATCTGTGGCAGAAGGCGGTCTCGGAGGTAGCCAGGTCCGATGCCATGGATCGCTTTAAAGGTGGTAACTAACACCTTAAAGCGCACCCGGAAGACCACTGGAGATAGGTGGCTATAGGAAGTGAAAAAAAGAAAGAAAGAAAGAAAGAAAGAAAGAAAGAAAGAAAGAAAGAAAGAAAGAAAGAAAGAAAGAAAGAAAATATTAGAAGTGATCGATTATTAGGATTGTTCATAGCAACTGTTGGGTTGAGATTGCAAATCTTAAAACTCCCTAGCCAGTGTGGCTGAAGCTTGAATGAGTGGGAATTATAACTGCAAACAACCATAACAACAACAACATCCTGAAGGATACAACCTTATGACTCGTGGACTTTAACTCCCAGAATTCCTGAGCCAGCATGGCTCAGCTTGGAAACCTCTCCCTGTCCCCTCAGCATGGCTGACTCAGGAATTCTGGGCGTTGAAGTCCATGAGTCATAAAAGAGCCAAGGTTGCCTACCCCTGACGTAGGAGAAGTTGCTTCCTGGAGAACCCACTTAGTTCAAACAGGGGAGTTGTTAAGCAGATCACCCTCCAAAAGATCACAGGAGGTACCTGGAGAAGCGTGGGACCAGATTGGCTCTTCCAACAAAATTATTACCTGTGGATTTATTTTGTATCTTCTTTCTTTCCCTCCCCCAGTATATGGGTTGTATTGAGATCCTGCGATCAATGAGATCTTTGGATTTTAACACCCGGACGCAAGTCACCAAGTAGGTACCCCTCGTCTATCTGGTTCTTGGTGTTCTCTGATCTTGTCTCTCCCTGCAGATGTTTCTCTCAAGGTTCTGACTGACGAACCCAGCCAAGCAAGCACCTCCTGAGGCGATCCAATCTCTTAATGCAAAACTCAATACGTTTTGAGTACATCATTTTGGCACGATTACAAGCAAAACCAGCTTTGGCAATTGCCCTCCCAATCCATATGGTAAAAGTGTAAAATTCCCCCTCCTCCTCCATTTTAGTCCTGTCACCTTGCCCAGTTAGGTGTTAAAATATTGTTATGAGAAAGTGTCTCTGAGTTTGGCCAGACATCTGGTGAACTGTCCTTGGTTCTTACGGTCTGACGTCTTGATCTCTGGAGCCGGCATTCCACTCCACTCCACTCCACTCCATTCCATTCCATTCCATTCCATTCCATTCCATTCCATTCCATTCCATTCTTCTAATTCTATTCTGTTCTGTTCCGTTCTAGTCTAGTCTAGTCTAGTCCAGTCCAGTCCAGTCCAGTCCAGTCCATTCTTCTAATTCTGTTCTGTTCTGTTCTGTTCTAGTCTAGTCTAGCCTAGTCCATTCCATTCCATTCCATTCCATTCCATTCCATTCCATTCTTCTAATTCTGTTCTGTTCTGTTCTGTTCTGTTCTGTTCTAGAGATCAGATCAGATCAGGTCAGGTCAGGTAAGAAGATTAAAACAAGACAAGACAAGATCGAATCAGATCAGATCAGGTAAGGTAAGGTAAAGTAAAGTAAGGTAAGGTAAGGGAGGAGGGTTTAAGTAACCGTTCGACTCTTCGTTATTAACAGCGTTGTCGTTTTGTGTGAAGCTTGACTGGTCCAATCCATTGGAGTTTGGCGCATGAAAGAGTAGAATTCACTGGCTGCTTAGATGTGTTCACTTGTCCTACCAGACTCGACTGTTTCTACCAATATAGGTAGGTAGTCCTCGACTTACAACCATTTGTTTAGTGACCGTTCGAAAAAAGTGACTTTTGACTGTTTTTCACACTTTTGACCGTTGCAGCATCCCCATGGTACAATTTTGTGGTGGCCATCTTGGCACTTGCCCAGGTGGACCATGCCTTGGCACTTGCCCCGGTCCCACCCCCTTCTGCCAGAGACCCTCAGATCTGTCCCACTCCTGCCCAGGCCCCCATAGGCACCCTTCATGCGAATGATGTAGAACTGGCCATGCCCACCCAGTAGGCCACACCCACTCCATCCACGCCCACCCAGTAGGCTGCACCCACTCTGGCCACACCCACCCGCCCCCCCCAGGGCAACCGCAATGCTGATGCGGCCCTCAGTGAAATTGAGTTTGACACCCGTCTTATACCATCAAAGACCCTCCTCATTCCATATGTCCCTTAAGAAAACAGCCTCCTTTTCGTAATTAGCTCCTTTATATCCCTTAAGAACTGTCTCCTTTCCATAATTACTTTCCTTATGTCATTTAAGAAGACAGCCTCCAGCTTTTTTATGGGAAGATAATTTGTCATGTTGTCTTTTAGTTTGCAGCCCGAAGGTCCCAGCATCTTTGCCTGAGAAAAGATCGGAAAGCAGATGGATGCTCCTGGCATCCTGACATTGCTATGCAACATAACCTGGTTAATTAGATCAGTGAATATATTAAGAGGTATATGTGTAGCAAATCCGTAGCGTGGTGAGCTTTCAGATTGGATAATGTTTTTGGGCTTCAGTGTGAACTTTTGGAGAATTTTTTATAATCTGAGTCATTTGCAAAATAGGTCATTCATCAAGAGAATGGCTAGATCAGGGCTTTTCAACCTTTTCACCCATTGTACCACTTTTAGGATATGGCAACATCCGAGTACCACCAGTCGCCTAGCAAGGTGTCATCAAAAACTTGATGACCCCCCCCAAAAAAGAAAAAAGTGATAAAGTACAGGTAGTCCTCGACTTACAAGAGTTCGCTTAGTGACTGTTCGAAGTTACAATGGCACTGAAAAAAGTGTCCCCCAAGCCACAGCCGAGCAAGACACCTGCCTGCCCGTCCGGCGGCGCTCTTCCTCCTGTCCGAGGTTTTCATTATTGTGAGCATTTCTGTTGAGGATTGGCAGCGGGGGTGGGGTGGGGGGGTGTTTGGTTTTTATTCCCCCCCCGTCTGCTGGGTGGCTGCAGCAGGTTTTGGTCACTTCACATGACCCTGGGACACTGTGACCGTCATAAATATGAATCAGTTGCCAAGCATCTGAGTGTAAATCACAAGACCCTGGAGATGCTGCAACATTCCAGCTGATCGGCGCTTCTTCTGGGCTCAGCAGAAGTGCCAGGATCAGCGCCGAGCTCCAGCTGGAGCCTGGCGCTGATCCTGGCGCTTCCGCTGAGCCCTGACAGCCCTGCAGCTCCAGCCGTCTCTCGCTCAGGCTTGTGCGGTGCTGCCACCGGTTCAGCTTATTCCCCTCCCCCGCTACCACTTTTCTAGGATGGCCGCGTACCACTTGCCAGGTGCCAATGTACCACAAGTGGTACCCGTACCACTGGTTGAAAAGCCCTGGGCTAGATGACCAAAACTAGCTAAGTCGACTTCTGACTTTTTTCTTCTTCTGTAATTAATATACATCCTGAAATTATCTTTCCTGCAGGGAGGCCATCAATCGATTGTACGAGACAGTCCCAGGAGTCCGAGGGAACTGGAAGAAAAAGGTGAGTTTGTTTGGATCAATCCAAATGGAATTCACTAAGTCTTGTATGGCTGGAGAGGAATTCAAAAAGGTAAGGATTGCACGTTATACAGGTAGTCCTCGGCTTACGACCACAACTGGGATCAGAATTCCTGTGGTTATGCAAAGCCGTTGTTAAATGAGGGGCGCCTGATTATACGACCTTTTGCCCCAGTTGTTAAGCAAGTCACTGCAGTTAAGTGAATCACTAAACAAATCCAGGTTCCCTTGTTGACTTTCCTGAGTTGATAAAGGGTTGAAGAGCTTCTATAGATCGGTTGATCTCTGATTCTGTCTTCCCAGGCACCAAACAAAAGTCTGTTTTCAATTCTGGGCAAGAGCAATCTCCGATTTGCCGGTATTAGCATAGCTGTCAACATTTCCATCGATGGGTTAAACCTGATGATCCCCAACACCCGACAGGTAAGACCTCCATCCTCCATTTGGGTTGTTCCATCTGCCATCTGACTCCTCCCCTCAGGTATGTGTTGGAAGAAGGCAAATCTGGAAACCTCCACTTCAAAACACATTTTGCCGAGGTTAGGAATCTGTAGGAGAGGACCAGGCTGAGCCCGAGGGAGGGGTCAAACGTGTCATTAGGTCACGAGTCCCTGTGTTCCAATATCTCAGGGGCTGCCCCAAAGAAGAGGGAGTCAAGCTATTCTCCAAAGCACCTGAAGGCAGGACAAGAAGCAAGGGGTGGAAACTAATCAAGGAGAGAAGCAGCCTAGAGCTAAGGAGAAACTTCCTGACAGTTAGAACAATTAACCAGTGGAACAACCTGCCTCCAGAAGCGGTGAATGCCCCAACACTGGAAGTTTTTAAGAAGAGACTGGACAGCCATTTGTCCGAAATGATATAGGGTTTCCTGCCTGAGCAGGGGGTTGGACTTAGATGACCTCCAAGTCCCTTCCAACTACTACTACTACTACTACTACTACTACTACTACTACTACTACTACTACTACTACTACTACTACTACTACTACTACTACTACTTCTTCTTCTTCTTCTTCTTCTTCTTCTTCTTCTTATTATTATTATTATTATTATTATTATTATTATTATTATTATTATTATTATTATTATTATTATTATTATATCTAAATCAGTGTTTCTCAACCTTGACAATTTTAAGGCATGTGGACTTCAACTCCCAGAATTCCACAGCCAGCATTGCTGGCTGTGGAATTCTGGGAGTTGAAGTCCACATGCCTTAAAATTGTCAAGGTTGAGAAACACTGATCTAAATGCAGCCTAGGATGTATGCCTTTCTTATCTCCCTCTCATTTCCCTTGACTGTTAGTTGGTCAGGTTTTTGTAGAGAGCTTAAGCTTGCAATCAATCTTCATACTCATTTGAACAGCCTGAATCTCCTGATTTCCCTGGCATTTGACAGAATCTACTGAAATATAAAACACAGGCTGTATGTCTAGGGAGATTCTCAAGTCATCCAGGTCATGGTTGTCCCAAAGGTGCTTTTTCAAGAGGCAGTTGGACTTTCTTGTTATAATAATAATAATAATAATAATAATAATAATAATAATAATAATAATAATAATAATAATAATAATAATAATAATAATAATAATAATAATGGTACTTCACTTAATAGCTGCATTGCTTAATGGTGGATTTTCTGGTTTCAGCTGTGGTCGTAAATCAAGGACTACCTGTAGACCAAATACCTGGTGTTTTTCAACTGGCTACATGGGTGATCCCAGCCAATTAGGGATTGGGGAATTCTGGGAGTTGAAGTCCACAAGTCTTAAAGTCGCCACATTTGGAGACCCCTACCAATTGCTGAGCAATGCCCAAGCCTCTTCACTGGCCTTTTCCCTTCTTCCTCACAAAGCTGATCATACCTTCCCTTCCATCTCTATCTGTCTGTTTCCACCGTAGATCATCGCGAATCACCACATGCAATCCATCTCCTTCGCTTCGGGGGGTGACACGGTAAGGGGAACATTGAACTTACATGTCCTGTGCATGGGAGGGAGCGTGGGTGCTTAGATTCACAGGAAAGAAATGCAGAATTGTTATTATTGTGTTATTATGGTTGGTTGCACAGTCAGCCAGATGTTCAGACTGGATTTGGCATTTTTGTTCACCAATAAGTCCTCCCCGAGGACTTGGGATTGGCAGATAATGTTGTTGTTTAATAATATTAAAGGTATTGTAGCAGGATGTAAGCGGTTCCAAGCAAAGCTGCCTTTTGCAATTGACTGATAGGGATTTTGTCAATGCCGATGGTGCGCCAGATGTTTTGGGACTGCCCCCCAAGGCACCTATCACTGTTGGTGCTATCTTTGTTTTCTTTTTCCCACAACTGTTCTACTTCTTTTTTCAGGCCTTTGTATTTTGTGATTTTCTCCAGTTCTTTCTCTTTTACAGGTAGCCCTCAACTTACAACAGTTCATTTAGTGACCGTTCGAAGTTACCACGGCGCTGAAAAAAATGACTGATGACCGTTTTATACTTACTTATGTTTGCAGCTTCCCCATGGTCATGAGATCAAAATTCAGCCGCTTGGCAACTGACTCGTATTTATGACGGTTGCAATGTTCTGGGATCACATGATCCTCTTTTGTTACCTTCCGACAAGCAAAGTCTAAACAACCGTGGCAAGAAAGGTGGTAAAATGGGGCAAAATTCACTTATCTGTCTCACTTAGTAACAGAAATTTTGAGCTCAGTTGTGGTCGTAAGTCGAGGACTACCTGTATTCTGCTGTCTCCAAGGATGGCAATGCCCATTATCCAGGCTTTTAAAATCTTTCTTATTGACAGTGGTTAAGTTTGGATTGTTATGTGGCAGAATTATTATTATTGCTATTTTACTTTTCCTAAAGCAGTGATGGCGAACCTTTTAGAGACCGAGTGCCCAAACTGCAACCCAAAACCCACTTATGCATCGTTGGGTGCCGGGTGGGTGTGGCCATTGGCTGGATGTGGCCAATTGGGTGGGTGTGGCCAATTGGATGGGCGTGGCTGCAGTGGTAATGGCAGACTGGGTGGGACTAAAAAGTTCAATCAATCAATTCCAACTTTGCGAGATCTTTTTTTTTCCTGCAAGAAGTTGAAATTGACTGATTGATTGAACCTTTTTTTTTTTGTACACGGCGGCAGAGGCCTAAAGCGAAAAGGTTTTATAAAACCCATCTGAAGGCCTAGGACTGGGGCAACGGTGCTGTGCCCACAGAGAGGGCTCTGAGTGCCACCTCTGGCACCCGTGCCATAGGTTCGCCACCACTGTCCTAAAGCATTACAACACATATACAGTATATGGAATTAAAAGGCAATAATCTTTAATTTCTACTGGTGGCAGAAATTTTGAATTTCCACAACTAGAATTCCATACAACGATATACGGAAATACATCTAAAGGGGGGCAGATGAATATACAAAGAGTTCAGGGGTGGGAAACCAGGGCCCTTTTATGACACGTGGACTTCAACTCCCAGCATTCCTGAGCCGGCATGGCTCAGCATGGAAACCTCTCCCTGTCTCCTCAGCATGGCTGGCTCAGGAATTCTGGGAGGTGAAGTCCACGAGTCATAAAAGGGCTATAGTTCCCCACCTCTGAAATAGTTAAACACCGTTCAACTATCTGGCAGTTCAAAAAGTCAAGATGGCGGTCCCAGCCAGATGATCAAAACTCTGCTCCTTTTTTTATGGCCATAAAAATGTAAGAATCCAAGAACAGCCATGTTGGATCAGGCTGGTAGCCATATTAATCTAGCAGTTCGCTCTTCCGGCAGCTATGTAACTTTATTTACATGTATTGCAACAGCACTGCCAGAAGTCCTTGACTTACAAACATTCGACTGCAGTGATTCACTTAGCAACGGTGGCAAGAAAGTTTGCAAAATGGGGCAAAACTCACTTTACAATTGTGTTATGTGCTCCTGGCTACTTTCCTTCGTGACCAGAGGCACGCTCGCCTGACCAATAACCAGCCAAGACACAGTGAAGGCCTTTTGTTTCGTTTATTGCAGTAAGCGGGGAGAGAAGCTATCAAAGCTTGGTTCATTCCAAAGTTCCAACCCAAAATATTCCCTTCTTTATACAGCCCTGTCCCGGCGGCCACATCCCTCCTCTTTCCCCATTGGCTGAGGTACTACTATGAGGTTACACTCTTTCCGTCCGCTTCTTACACATTTCCTGCTACATACTAAATCATACTTCACGTGTACATTAAAATTAGGAGATAATTTATGCAAAGTGTGTCAGTTAATATTAATCAACTAATTGCACATGCTCAGTTGCCTGAATTCTGGCCCCCTTTTTTATGACGTCTTAGAAAAATAGGTTCTTTCCTGTTTCGCTAGTTATCTTCTCTTACAGCTCCTTTTCCCGTTCTGAAGACCCAGATAACAATTTTGCCTATGTGTTTCTCTTACATCCCTTCTTTATGCTATCCTTTCCTGTTTCCCAACCATTATAGTTTTTTTCCTCCACTCAGTAAATTTCCACTGCAGCAAATTCAATTTTAAATTTCTCTTTCAATATTAAATTTTGAAGACCTTTCCTTTACTTCTATCAATTTTTCTCACTTAGCAACAGAAATCTGGGGTTCGATTGTGGTCATAGGTTGAGGACTACCTGTACTGACTACCTTTTTCGGGAGACAACTGGACCTTCTTGTTTCTCCTTTGAAGACGTTTCGCTTCTCATCCAAGAAGCTTCTTCAGCTCTGACTGGATGGTGGGGAATGGAAGGATTTATACTCCTTGCAGACAGCCGGTCATTTGCCGGGACTCTGCGCTACCCGGCCTTGCCCTCCGCCCATCCGATGGAGGCGCGATGGGGGCTGGTGCCACGTGGCCCCTGCCAGCCCTCTGCCAGCCCAGCTGCTCCCACCCCAGGCACCCCTTTTGCCCCGGCGCCCACCCGAGCCGCCTTGGGGGCAGTAGGAGGAAGAAGGGGAGGAGGAAGAGGATGGCAAGGAAGCCGCCGCCAGCGCTGGGCCCCAGGAGGCGACTCTCCTCTCCTACCTTTGCTGAATCTCCTTCTTCCTTCCCGGCAGCCTGGACTCCGGCGCACCTTCCTGGCCAGCAGGTCCAATGGTCGGGCTGGCTGGGATTCGCAGGGGCTGGTCTCCCTTGGGCCATGGCTTGCGGGAGGGCTGGCCCGTTCAGCGGAGCCTCCAGCGGGCCGCTCCCAGAAGGGATTCCGGGACTTCCCCGGGCGGCTCCAAGGCCACGAGGCCCTGGCCGCGCTGCTTCCAGGGGGTGGGGCACCCGGGCGCAGGGCCAATCAGGAGCCCTGCAGGAGGTAAGTCCGCCTGAGAGAGAGAGAGAGAGAGAGAAGGGAAGCGAAAGTGCCTCTCTGTCTCTCTCTCTGCAAATGGCGGAGGAGGCCGTGCGGAGACGGATAGAGGAGCGGTGTCTTGGTTCCTAAGACCATCGGAAACATGTGTTTCCGATGGTCTTAGGCGACCCCTGTGAAAGGGTCATTTGACCCCCAAAAGGGTCGTGACCCACAGGTTGAGAACCACTGTTTTAGAGAGTCCACCTGGAGGTTTATCTGTCTGTCAGAGCTGAAGAAGCTTCTTGGATGAGAAGCGAGATGTCAACGCTGCAAATACTGTATATTCTTGCTTACTGTTATACGTCTCGACAGACCGTAAAAATATCAATTTGGTCCGTCTTCCCCTTTTCTTTGGCCTTCATTTAGTGTAGAAGGTTCAACTAACCTTCTACACTTGGTACTGGGGTTTTTTTCCACCCTCCCTTTACGAATCTTAATGTACGTATCGCCTTTTCTAGCCAGTCCTAAGCATTTCCTCCATGTTGTACTGATGTATCTGTAACATTAATAAATGCTTTTAGGAGTAAAAATGCCTGAAAGTCCTTTTTAGTGTTTCGTTAATCAGACACTTGACACGAAACATCTTCAAAGAAAAACAAGAAAGTCCAGTTGCCTCATGAAAAAGCACCTTTGGGATAACTCTCGAAGATCCACAAGCCTTGATAGATTTGCCTTACCTGGTTGTCTTAAAAGCCATCCCAGTTGGTGGCCATTCCTGGTCTTAGGGCCATGATTTCTGCAGGGAAATGAGGCATTCTGTGAAGAAGTGGTGCCGGCATGGAAGTCATTGTCCATGCATTATTGAGCTACACTCTTTCTTCAGGTCAGCTATCTCAGAATCTAACAAAGCTGACATTTTCAAAGCAGCAGATAACGTAACCTCGGCAAGCAGGTGTTCGTTTGTTTTTTTCCCCAAACTCCACTGCTGGAAGAAAAGATGCTTAAAATAGTGTCTAAAAGGCAACAATGAAGACAAGGGAAGGGGAAGGGGAAAGGAAAGGAAATAAATGGATAAAAAAAGGAAGGGAAGGGAAGGAAAAAGAAAGGAACGGAAGTAATTGGTTGAAAAAGGAGAGGAGGGGAGGAGAGGGGAGGGGAGAGAAGAGGAAGTAAATGAATAAAAAAGAAGGGAAGGGAAGGGAAAGGAAGGGAAGGGAAGGAGAGGAGAGGAAATAAATGAAAAAGAAGGGGAAGAGAGGAGAGGAGAAGAGAGGAATGGAAAGGAAATAAATGGATGAAAAAGAAGGGAAGGGAGGAGAGGAGAGGAAAGGAAGTAAATGAAAAAGAAGGGGAGGAGAGGAGAGGAATGGAAAGGAAGTAAATGGATGAAAAAGAAGGGAAGGAGCAGAGGAGAGGAGAAGAAAGGAAAGGAAGTAAATAAATAAAAATGAAGGGGAGGAGAGGAAGTAAATGGATGAAAAAGAAGGGAAGGGAAGAAGGAGAGGAGAGAAAAGGAAGTAAATGGATGAAAAAGAAGGAAAGTAGAGTAGAGGGGAGGAGAGGAAAGAGAAGAAAAGGAAAGGAAAGGAAAGGAAAAAAAGTAAAAGGATGAAAAGGAGAAGGGAAGACTCAATCACTTGGACCCTAATCCTCATAGTAAAGAGGCTCTTCATCTCTTCCGCTTATTTAACTAAGAAAATATTTT